CATAATGTACATATGTAGAGAAAAGTGACATAATTTACTTGGCAGAAGTAACATAACTTGCTTATATAAAGTAAGTAGAATAATTTTTAACCCTTTTTTTTCATCTTGCTTTGCAGAAGTGGCTTTGGGTTGGTAAGAAGATGCTGAAACACATAAGCTCTGGGCTCTGTCTGGACGGCAGTAAATATAAAGATGTGGGACTGACAGTAAACAAGTGTGATGAAAGTGCAGGTTCACAACAGTGGATCTTTTCGGCAGTTCATGTATGAGCATGAAGTCACAATAGGTGTTCTTAATTAAATGTTTTAAAGGAAACGGTTTTAAAAATTCAGGGCTAAACCTAGAGTGCCATGGCTCCTGAGTGCTACAATAAAGAAATAACTTCTGGAGTCTACTCATTAAGAAAACTGAATGATTGCCTCTGTAAATGTCACATAATGTTTAATTGGCTACTGTTCTGAAAGGGAAATGAATGATAGGATTTAATTGTTGAATAATATTAACATGATCTGTAAATTTACGATTTTTTTATGTTCAAATATATAACGTATGAATTAAAAAAAAAAAGATTAGGTTTACTACCACTTTGTTGTTGAAGAAATGAGTCTGTGCTGAATTAAAGGACCTGCATTGGATATGCAAGCTAGTCACTGTATTTTGCTGTATGTGTAAGCATGTGTTACATGAAATTATTGTTAATTTTGTTAGCAAACACCCATTTATCTACTACTTTCTCATCAAGATTTTATCATATCATGACAATATATTAATAAAGAAACAAAAGCTAATGTAATATTTAGTTTAATTTACTTAAAAATCCAGTTTTTTTGCAGTATTCTGCTGTTGGAATGCTGGCTCCATAACAGTTGAGTTTTTGGACCAATGATGTTTTTATAATATTTATCTCCAGCATTTGGATTTTTTTTCTTTTAATTCTTCCTACATTGACACCTAATATGCTGTATAGTTAAACTATTGTTGTACTACTGTGGCATATATATATATTTTTTACAAGACACTTGTTTATGTCATGTATATTTACATGAAATGAAAGGTTTTGAAGATATTTGCCATAGGCATGAAAATGATACAGGTATTTTCAAAGTAGCTTAAATTGTTGAATCATAATTTTTCTCAGCCAATCATGTGACCAAGTCAATTAAGAGCAGTGTTCTTGATTTGTGGAATGTATTTGTTTTCTATAAGTCATGCTAAAATGAAAAGTTATGGATGTCGAGATAGGGTTTATGTAAAAGATTATACAATAAGGTGGTAACTCCAATTTTTGTCAGTGAGCAGGTGATTGACAAAATACTAGATATCTTGATTAAGGCAAATTGACCTCAGGCTATGATGAAAGTTAATAGAACTCGGTAGGTAATGGGTTCTTAAAGTAACATGGAATTATAACTGTAAATCTGCAAGCTTTTAAAGATTTAATGAAGGTGAGTTTTTGTAAGTATCATAAAGTCCTTGTAACTCTTTTCTAGTATTATATAAGAATGTGGAGTAAAGCTCAAGGAAAAAAATGATAATTTGTATTCTTCTGATAGTCTATAAATTGAATTTAGTCAGTTAAATTATAAGAATTTAAGTTAATATATATATATATATATATATATCATTTTTAATGAATTTTCAGTGAATTGATAATGAAATAGATATGAATCAGGAGATGGTATGGTATTCCTGTTACAAGAGCAGTATGTGCATAATATTCTGAAGAACAAAAGGGTGAAAATATATCTATTAATGTTTTTGCACAATTTACTTGCCAAACATATATGAAATAGATTTACTTATATATTTTAAAACTGTGTACAATTTGGAAATGTAGCTGCAGGCTATAAATGTGTAGATGGTTAATTAAGGAAATTAAAACTTTGTACTTCAAGTTCATGTCCTAAGAAAAAGTTACTTGCCATAAATCAACATGATTCCTGTTTGTAAATATTCTTTTTTTTTCTTTTTATGTACCATTTGGTGTCTAAAAGTAAAGTGATTTTGTGGATGTTTATACAATTAGGCTTGAATACTTGATCGTCCAGTCAAAATCATATGAATAAGTAGTAGCAGCTGTTCTAAATACCTAAAAATAATTCTATATGATAGTGTATTTTATTCTAAAGATAGCATCAAACACTTGCAATTAAACTGAGATACATGGTTTGTGTTGTGGATGTGTGGCTGGCTATATCTATATATATAAATTATACCTTTTTTTGGTATCTGAGTTAAAATTATTTTCCTTTTGGTGTTTTAGCAATACATTTAAACTAATTATATTGAATATTTGTATTGAAAATAAAAATTCAACCACTGCAGTGATTTACCAAAAAATAAATTCCCAGGAATCTTCAACAGCAAATATTGATATGCATCTTTTCAACACATGTGTGGGTATGTGTATATTGTGACAACAGTATATACAGTTTGTCATACATAAAACAGAATGAAAAGCATCACCTGAAGTTAAGCAAGCTGTAGATACTATATTGTGTAAACACTGTGAACCAAACATACAACACATTGTATGCTAATGCAACAAGTTGTATTATACAGTGTAAATAAAGCCTCAGAAGGTACTACAGCAACGTAATGTAATTTGTTAACAAAAAAAAGTGCAACCTTATAACACAAAGTATTATACACTCTCAGTGTAAACTTAATAATGCACTATACAGCTTAAAACTGATACAATAGAAAGAACCAGGTGTAAACTAGGGCGAGAAATGGCACTATTTAGTGTATATTGAAACTACATAGTACCTTACAATATAAACTTAAGCTTCATAATGTACTGTACAGTGTAAAATGGTACTGCAGAAAGAGCTATGTGTAAACCAGAGCCAGAAATGGTACTATTTATTGTTGTGATGAAACTACACTGTACCATACAATCTAAACCTAAGCTTTATATTACGCTGTACAATGAAACAGCGAAAGAATTGTGTGTAAAATAGAGCTACAAAATGGTACTATTTAGTGTAAATTGAAACTATATAGTACTGTACAGTCTAAAGATTTATAATGTACTGTACAATGTTAACAACGTAGTCTTCTGTGTAATTGAATACTTAAACACAGATGGTTCAAAAGTGTGAGATTTTCAGCCTTGCATAAATAACTTAACATTTGGGAAACATTGAATATTATTTCTTACACTGTAAGTCTGTAATGGTACCTGTTCTACTGGTTTATAATAAATGCTTATAGCATGTAAGGCTATGATACAGATATTTATTAAGGGTAGGGGAACCACTTTTACATTTTTAATATTTAGTTAACAACATGACATTGCTGAATGCATTAAACTTGAAGAAAGTATATCTGATTAATACTAGGTCTATACTCCCAAAAGGGGAACTATGCAATGGCTTGTTATCTTTCTGTACTTTAAAATTTTCAATTTTTAAGTTTGTGTAAAATTAGTGGAGGAGTGCTAATTGATGATAACTTCCATGCAGAAGAGTGCCAAAAGTCTTTAACTTCAGACACTGGTAATCGTATAGCGTGTATTAAAACTACAAATGTGCTACACAGAATAAACTCGACTACAGATTGTGCTAAAAAGTGTTAGAGCAGCTGAAGAAAGAACCATACACTTAAATTATTGGCCATATTATACAGTATAAATTGAAGCTACAGGAAGTACTATATATTGTGAACTGATGCTATGGAAAGTATATTTAGTGTAAACTAAATCTTCAAGGTGGTTATAGTTAGGAGCTGGAAGGGACATCTTTGATGGGCTAATAAGCTCCTTTGTGTCCCTTTAACAGTTTATGAATTCTACTAGTGTTTCTCAACCATCAGTCTGCAGACCAGTGCCAGTCCATGGGATTTCAAAAGAACTTAAAGAATATTTATATGTAAATTTTAATAGCTTTTCGTATTACTTGTATTTTCGTGGTCCACAATAGTTTAGCAAGACTGATCCGGTCTGTGGTATCAAGAAGGTTAAGAAGTTCTGTACTATATAGTGAAAACTGGTACTATAAAAAAAAAAGTACTTTATATTAAAACTGATCCTATAAAAAGTGATTTACATCGTGAACTGATGTTACAGGATGCTGGACATCAGTTGTAAGTGTAAACTGATAATACAAAAAGTACTTTATATCAAGAACTGATGGAACAGTCACTGATTGCTTCCAACTCCATCACAAAGAAATTGCTAATTATCAAAATCCTATAACCTCTCCAGTATGTAAATATTTTAGTTTTATAGTTAATTCTGATGTGTTCCAAACACATGAATAAACAAAGTAAGAGATTAACAGACTACTAATGTTCTGCCTTTGGTTTCATAGTTATGAATAATTTGTATAAATTGCCATGGGTCATTTAAAAGGAAGTTCTTGATAAACAATTGATGGAATTGTGTTTATATTTATTTCTTTGCAGGAAACATTTATATGGTTACAAAATATAAATATGGCACTTTTTTTTTCCTCATGGCTTACGTAAAAAATTTACATATCAATTTTGGTGTTCCTGACACAAATAAAAAGATACATACGAATTTTATTGTTTATGCCAGTGGTAAATCATAGGATAATTAATATATAGATTCTAAAAGCTGCCAGAATGAAGTATCGATACAAGAAGACACAATATATTATTATTTACTTGTAAGAAACTTGTCACAGTATTGGCACATAACTAGGGGGTGCAAATTTAATATTATTGTGAAGTGGTCCCATCATGAAGTATTTGTAAGGAAGGTCACTAAAATGGTTTATTTTGATTAGTTTTAAGTGCAGTTAATTCCCAAGAATAAGTACATTGAATATTCTGAACTGTACATTTCTCTCTACCTGATAATTCCATGAGACTACACAACTTGTCAAAAACATCCAGTCAAAACTAATGTCTGACATAACAAAGACCAGCCAGTACTAACTTCGAGAGACACAAATAACATTGAATTTTATACACATAAAAAGTTGCACTTTTTGAATAAAAGGTATTGCTCTGTAAATTTTTAAAAATATTTTGTCATTGAAGATGTCATAATGTAGAAATAATTTTCTTTTATTTCATATTCTATTGTCAAAATCTTTCTTTTAACATAAAGCTTTTTGTATAAAATATTAACAGAATACTTGTGATATGTGATCAAACCTGACATCAAGGTCTGGATTAAAATACAAAACAGATTGAATCACAATATTGTTTTACATTACATATTCATTGTAAAATGAGTTATATTAAAGTATTTATAAATGAATCATCTCACCACCAAAGTATTTTTTGACAAGAAAATTTTTTCACATTAATGATGAAATTATCATGATCAGGCAGGCTATAACGTGTGCCAACTGATTTTAACTTTTGGATAATTACATT